ACAAGTATCTGATAATAATGTTTGATGATTAATATTTTGGTCAATGCACCAGATAAATTAGACTTGGCTATTTAATCTCATTGGATGCTGAAAAGGTCTTTGGTTTCTTTTTGCATTTGTGAAATATGGTCCAAGAAGATATGGGTTTTCATCATCTTTTGTCCTTTGGATTACAATTTAATATCTTTACCCTATGGCTATAAACATCACAAAGGGATTTTTTTCCTCCAACCAATCAGGTTATCTTGTGGAATGTTCAATGTTCCGCTTTCTCCATTGTGTTGGTGCAAACCACTTGGAAAATTTATTTCATTTATCTGAACTATTTATATTTCTTGAAAAAGCTCAAAGCAATTTCCTGCTCCAGACAGAACAATCCAGAAATGATTACTATTAGAAATGGAAGGATCATCCTATTCTGTGTTTTTGAATGAGTTTAATCATGTCATTTTTATGTATTTTCCCATAACATATATTTTTGTGGGGTTCTTGGTGCTCCCGGATCATGGTTGTTTTCTTACAGATGTTTCACTACCAAACTAGTAACATTACTAACATTGATGATGTTACCTTATTTGATAATGAAACATCTGAAAGACTACAACCAAGCTGAGAGGGTATCAAGGATCCCGCAGTTCAATCCTGAGCTATAAATATTCTCTTCTGTTGGTACATATATTTTTGTATGCATAGTCCTTAAAGAGAAGCACATTGGTTTCTAACTTTTGTACTGATAAATGTGTACTTTGAAAAATAACTCATTTCAATCTGTATTTTAATTTCAGTAAATTAAGTTATTCAAGGAATAAACTGTTCAATCTGATCCAGAGTAAATAGTGTATAGAAAAAGAGAACACCCTTAATTTATATTTAACAAATTCAGATAAATCTAGCAAATGTCAGAAATGTTTTGGGAATGTGAGATGAGGTTATTGTTGAAGAACTGATGTGATATTAGAAAAGATTCTTTTAATATCATGCCATATCATTTAAAAACAGTTAGCAAGATATCCCTCTGGTGCATCATCAGGAAAGAAGACTGAAACCCACAATGCAAGAGCCATTTTTTATAAGAACCTATTGCATAATGCAAAATGCAGCTCTATAAAAGACCTCAAGGAAAACATAATTTATCAAGCAAAGATTCTGCAGTCAGAACATTCCAAGAATGAGGATAAATAATTTCCGATCAGAAACTGTCAGATCTGAGCAACTGAACTGTGTCTTTAAAATCTTCTCACATATGTCAATGGAGCAGATAAATAATTCTGCAGCAAAAAAGAAAAAGAAAAAGAAAAAAGGAAACTACAATTCAACACTGCAGATAAAGCGGTTGGAATATTTCTTTTCATGCTAAAATGAATTCACTCCCTGCATCAATATATCAGTGAAATTAATTGCTCCGCAGCAAGATCTAATCATGTCAAGTGATGTATTTCTCCCCATCATAAAAGTCTGCAGATTTTTGTGTTTCTTTGAATACAAAAGTAGGCTCTTTCTGAAGAAGTGTAATCTATAGAAGCAAGAAAGAAAACTGAAGGAGCTCAGGGGAAAATGTTCAAGCAAGGGAAGAGAAGAAGCTATCTTCTTGCTAGTTGCAGAATTTAATCCCATAAAGACATTGTTCCATATGTTTGCAGAGTTTAATCCCATAAAGCTATACTGGTTGTGGAGCTTAATCCCATAAGGCCATTGTCCATTGATCGGCACTGTGCTCTGGAAAGCAATACAATGTTTGAAAACTGTTCTCTGAGGGAAAGCGATAACAGCCTGTACTGTATTACACCCTTCCTTTCCTTCTGACATCTTAGTGAAGATAAATGCAGTTCATTTCCCAAGTATAGTATATAAATAACACTTTAATTACTGATCATAAGTTGTGATTTGCAGGGTTGCGATATCCTAATGTCTAAACTGCTGTAATACATTGTAAGGCAAGAGAATGGAGCAATCTATTCTTAAGGAAGCTACTTTAAGCCTACCTACAGCTTTCTGTGCATCTTTGGCTTTGAATAACGCCATGTACAAAGATCTAACAATAGTATGTCGAGTCAGCATTTTGAGGTGGAAAAGCCCATTTTGCAGCCGTGTATCTTTTTTTAAAAAAGGAAAACTTAAAAAAGGGACACAAATGCAAAAATGAAAAAGAACTCATAAGTCCCTAAGTATGCTTAACACTATTTAAAAATGAATGAGCAATTACCAAGATCCTGCGAAAACATTCTCCTGAGGCCTTTAATCCTATAGATGTGCTGTGGGGCAGTGGTGAAATCCAAATTTTTTTACTACCGGTTCTGTGGGTGTGGCTTGGTGGGCGTGGTGTGGCTTGGTGGGTATGGCAGGGATGGTGGGCATGCAAAATCTCCATTCCCACCTCACTCCAGAGGAAGGATACTGCAATATATTCATTCCCACCCCACTCCAGAGGAAGGATACTGCAAAATATTCATTCCCTCCCCACTCCTGGGGAAAGGATATTGCAAAATATCCATTCCCACCCCATTCTGGGGCCAGCCAGAAGTGGTATTTGCCAGTTCTTTGAACTACTCAAAATTTCCGCTACCGGTTCTCCGAACTGCTCAGAATTTCCGCTACCGATTCTTCAGAACCTGTCAGAACCTGATGGATTTCTTCCCTGCTGTGGAGACACTCACCCAATCCTCCCATTGCTCTGCTGATGTGCCTCCCGAATTTCCATTTCTTATTGCCTGTGCAGATACACACACACACACTTAGAATATAATATAATATACATATATGTATTATACATAGAGATGCAGTCATACAGAGTCATATTAAATTAAATCTACACGAAGTTAAGTTTAATTTTATGTACCCAAAATTATAGCATCAAAATGCACATATAAGATAGCCCGGCAACCAAACTTAAAGTGCAAATTCCTTTCTTGCATTTCCTCTCAGCTGTTCCTCAAGGGTATTTGCTGATGCTTCTGTGACAGGCCTTTCTCAGTGGTAAAGTGGCTACAATAATTGCTTGATGGGCAGAATATCCTTGGCTTGAGACCTGGCAGGAAGGCGGGCACGAAACCCTTCTATCTCATGGGACTGGAAGAGAAGTGCATCAGCAGCTTTATTTAAAAACTAAAAAGAGCCAAAGGAAAAACAGTTAGCTCAGCTAAAGAAAAATATAATTTTAAGAAAAGTTTCTGCTGGGTTTGAACCAGGGAGAAAGCCATATAATAGAGCAACATCAGATTTTCTGGACAAAAGCTGAAAAATGATAGGTTTCATGTCCCAGTAGAGTAGCCAACCAAACCAGAAAGCTCAGCAGGCACACGGGACAGATATATAAGACTACTTTCATCTCTGAGCAGGAAGACGTAGGCAGAGGTCACTCCAACTGTGGGCTCAGGGTGAGAAGAAGATAACTTCCAGCGATCCTGGTCTTTAGAAACATTGGGTGGTCCATACTCACAACCAGGCAACTTGGCAGTGCAGAGATGCCCTAGGTTGGGTGCCATATTCATGACCTGCCAAGTTCTGGTCCTGCCCAGCATGAAGTTGTAGAATATAACCCAAGTGGAACAGTTCATGTTTTCTATAAAATAAACAGGACCGCCTGATGCCTTTAGAAGAGAGATGGCTTTACTAGAGCTAGTCTGTAAAAGAACACAGATTTCAAATGGCAGCAAAATAGCAGTCACTGCCAATATGAGCTCAGTAAATGGAAAACAAGGAGTGCAGTTTGCTAATATCCTCGGTCTGTGCTCCCAAACCACGAAAGAGGAGAAAGTTTGGGAAAGCTGCCTCGCAGGAAGAACATATCTAAAGTGGAACAGATGTGCTCTGATGTTAAAAGAAGTTGGGGGGAAATCAGCAATCTCCTGTTTAACTTTAAAGTCTTGATTAAATGTTAGTTGGATAGCGGATTTATTTATTTATTCTTAGGCTGACCATTAAGCTTATAACTTTGAATCCATCTCTCATGCACATGCCTCAGACCTATTTGGATAATCAAAATACAGAAAACTGTATTATCCTGCTATACTGACTTCAAGTGCACTAGAAACATACAAACTGTGGTCCTTTTGTTTTGTCACAACCCTTCTCCCCCCCCAAAAAAATGTCCAGAAACACATACGCTGTCTTTATACATATAAAACATTGATGGATTATACCGATTCTTTTATTGTATTCCAAACAAATGAATGTTATTTTTCAGTGTCCACATATTTTTACCAATAACATTTCATATTTTTTTTACATTTAAAATAAGTATTGTAATTATTCCATATTTTTTGTATCAAAGAATGCCACATAAAATAAATGCTTTCATAACATCTCTATGCAAGCATGCTGAGTTTGTGATATCATTTCTCTAAGGAAATGGCCACAAGGTAAAAGTCACACTAATAACGTATTTCAGCAGATGACCTTTCCTTGTTGACAAAATCTACAATGTTTATGAAGTTTACAGCTATGAAGTTTATACTGCCAAAAAAAAAAAGACCTTAAGAAAAAAAATAGAATCATTTCTATTCTACAACAGAATGTTTGTAAATAAAAATAAAAACTTATTTGTTAAAATTCATAAGTTTCATGAAATACTTTTGAGGGCACATCTACTACGTGTATCAGTGTTCTAACTGAATGGTCCCCAACCATTTTATTCCATATTACTATAGTAAACTTAGTTTTCGGAAACTCACTTCATTCACTTTGTTTTTTCTATCCTACAGTATATAGATCCATTTATGGTTGGACTAGAATTGGGAAAAACTATGTTCAGCCTGGCAATCATAAACTTCACTGTAGTCCCTATATTATCTTTCAGCACAAATAACTTCGTAGGACTGTTGCAGAAATGAAATTAGAGGATCAGATAAAGTTTATCTCATCTTGAGATCCTGAAGGCCTCAATTTTGGGGTAAATATAAAATTTATAACAGGCGGAATTAAGCTGAAAATCACTTTTACATAAATGCAAAATTGTACAATATTCTAACTTAGAAATGTTTTGAATGACCACATTTGTTTCATTTGGCTTCCACCATTTCAAGTAAACATCTGCTTTCATTATGAACAAACTGATACATTTGTTTTATTGGATTCATTCATGCACCACAAACAATTTTAAGCACATCCATTTTAACTTTATAGATTCTGCTTTGTGAATATTTCTTTAGGCAGCTGTTTATGACTTGGCTCTTCGAAAGGATATTTTTTTAATTCCTGATCCAACTCCGTTTCGAAAAGATCTTTTAATATCAGAATTCTCCAGAAAGGAACTGAACAAAGCTAGTTCTTCAGATCCATCCATCTTGGCTAGGCAACCATTCAGAAGCAGCAGGAAAAGGCAATCAGATTTCCTGGGCAGCTGGCAATTCATATAAAGGGGATTATTCCTCTGAAATTAAAAAAATAGATGAGAAAATAAGTTACCAATTTATATGTGTAGGACAGCCATACTCACATGCATAGGCATAGATAAACCTATTTAGGCTGTCAAAGGTATGGATGAATCTGTATTACCACTTGAGCAGGGATACTGAGTGTTGAGTTTTAATATCTGGCGATGCTAGCACAGTTTTTTTTTTCCTGGAATGACTGCATATATTGCAGATTGTAATATAATAATATTGTAAGCAAATGGTGCTCTGTTGTTTGGATTTCCTTGAAAACAGTTGCGGGACAGGAATGGGGAATGCGAGTAATAATCTAGCAATAATCTTCTTGCCAAGAACATCAGCTTCACATAGCTACAGCTTTTGAATACAGAACAGGCACTTTCTGTGAGGATCTTTCCATTCCGTCTTTGGGATTTCAGAAAACTCAGGACATATGTATTATTTGTGCACATGCTGTACAACTTCCTGTGATTCAAAACTAGAAATTTATACCCTTTCTTACACACATAGACCTATCTATATCTGCCTAACGGTTTATTATTTCATTTGAGGCCCAAGAGTTTTGAACGAAAAGCCAACCATTGCCTTCATGTCCAGTCGCCATATTTGGACTTCTCCTTGGAAGACAAAAAACTAAGAGATACTAAGATAAAAAGTAATTCTTCCTGGAAGGATGGCTCTTGATTTCAGGGATACGCAGGCAAATTGCAATTTCTTGTGCCTCTTTTTCAAACTTTGAAGTCATATGAGCAACACCAGGAAGATGAGTGTACTAGCCTTTTAATTTCCTAAGGACAAAAGTTGCATGGCATTGGGACATTGAGTGTATAGTTGCAGTGGGGGCTACTGAGAATGCAGTGCAAGCAAGAAGGAAGAAAAAAGAATGTTTAATGAGATCCTGGAAACAGATTGTTTGTTCTCAAGGGTTGCCCAAGAACTGGCCAGAGTATTTCCAATGCAACTCAGAAATATATACAGTATTGAACAAACAGATGGAAGTACTCACATTTCCCTCCCCATGGGGGGAAAAAAGGATAAAAGAGAAGATATATTTTGCATACAGAATCAGCCAAGATTAGTCAAAATTTGGACAAAAACGATACTGCAACATTGTGATGAGGCAAACTCTGTTACTTTTATTACATGCACGAGATACCCCAACACATCTATAAAAAGGATGGAGCTTGCATCATAATGATGCAGGATTGCTTTTGTCACCAGCAATCTGCGGAACATGTGGTTGTATATGACAACTTCTTGTGCGCATAAAATCTTTTTCAATCGGCATCCGTCATATAGTTAGAAATGTAATATGAGGAAGATCACAATCAGGTATATCTGAGCCTGAAAGACAAAGTCCAATGTTTCTTCTCCTTATCATTCTTGATGTTTATACAAATGTTGGACCAGGCAACTTCTCAAACAGGAGACTAAATAAAGGAATATCCTTTGTAAAACAGGACACATGGCCATTCAAGCACCTTCAATGTTAATGCTGCAAATGACTAGGATAGTTGTACTCATCATGCTTAGAGATTAGGAGGTTTTATTTACTTACTTACTTATTTATTTACTTACTTGCTCATCTCACTGTCAGGCAATTCTAGGCAGTTTACAACAGTATAAAAACACAATATAAAATGATAAGAATATTTTTTAAAAATTAAAACCTTTAGGATTAAAAATTAAAACATTAATATTAATAAGATTAGGTAAATGAGACTATTATAAAACTGTAACAGTTTATAGATCATCTCCTCCTAATCTATTATCTTCAAAGTGGGATGCCCTTATCAGGGCTACATCTCAGTTGGTAGAACCAGGTTTAACTCTGTCATACAATGAAGATAGTTCTGAATTTTTAACTTAAAAGTATAAATTTTGCCCATAGCATATTCATGGGTTCTTCATTGTTGAAGCATTTGGGTCAAACACCTTACATTGCTTTCAGTGATTTATAATGGGCAGAAGATAAGTAATGCAAATAATTGTGAATCTCTACAGGTATAAGTAATTTAAAACTTTAAAAGTATTGGAGTGTATGGGAAGAATATAATCATGAATTCATTTAATGCTTTTTATTTTTGCAAGGATATCTGGAAATAATGTTGTTTGATCATGAATTCATATGCTGGTTAAAAGAAATATGCTGGTTTAGCTCAACAGACAGAAGCACTGTAATTTAACACCAGCTGTCTGCAATTAAAGTAAGATCGAATCTCGCCAGGCTCAAGGCTGACTCAGCCTTCCATCCTTTCTAAGGTAGGTAAATTGAGGACCCAATTTGTGGGGGCAATAAGCTGACTTTGTATAAATATACAAAAGTATGAAGGCTATTGCTTAACGCACTGTAAGCCGCCCTGAGTCTCCGGAGAAGGGCGGCATATAAATCAATTTTTTTTTTTTTTTAAAAAGAGGGATAATTCTTCCAAATAGAAGACTTTTAAATAAAATTTAATTTCAAAAGTTATATCATGTGAATAGCCAGTTCATTTTATTAATTAAAATATAATGTTCTTTTATGTTTCTAAATTTCTTTTTCTATTTCAGTTTTCAATCTTTTTTATAAACTTGAATTAACCTTAAACAGTCACTCATGTCCTAATAACCTTAGGGTTTGATTATTGCAATGTCTCAATGTGGGGCTACTTTTGAAGACCATCCAGAAGCTTCAATTGGTCCAGAATGCATCACAGTTTATGCATTGATGAGAATGCCTTGGTATGCCCATGGGACACTTCTGCTGCACTGGTTGCCAATTTGCTTTGGGTACCATTCCAGGTACTAGTTATGACATATAAACCCCTATATGTCTAGGGCCTGGTTTTTTGAGGAATCACGTATTTCCCATGATGTCTGCCTGGTTGTCTTGAGCTGATAGGATTAGTACGTTCCAGGTTCCTTCAGTTAAACAGTGTCATCTATGATGTCCAGGGAACATCTACCCTGTTGGCCTTCTGGAAGGCCATAAAGACCTGACTGTCCTCTCAGGCTTGCCTGTCTGGAGCACATCTACTGGATATGAGGTAGTGAAATGTTTGCTGAGTTTGCTTGCTCCTTTCCCCCTTTCTCTTCTGTTCTTTTTGTGGCTCGTTTGTTGCTACTTGTTAATTTTTCCCCAAATCATCTAGACTTGTGAGCTGCCCAAATTGAATTCAATAAGTAAATAAATTTCCATAAGATGAAACAAATGAGTTTCTTTTCAAGTATAACAAATTAAGTTAAGATATGTGGTCTATGTCAAAATAATTCTTGGAAGACCCCATTTTAAAACCATTTCCTCCTGATTAGCCGAAAGGAAATGCTGTTGTTCTGGAAATGAGAGATTTCTGATTGTGAGTGTTTGCAAGAGTTCCCACCTGGGAAGATGAAATCCATCACAAACCCAATTCAATTGGGAGCCTGCAGCCTTTCATCCTAGTAATTAGATTTTAAGATAGCATCGTAAAATCAGCATAAATACACAGACAGACTGGAGGTTTAGCAGTAGTTTGCCCTTCATTTTGTTTTCTAAATGTCCCATTTTGAACTCTCAAGAAAAAATACTTCTGTTGTTGCTAAATGCTCCAGCAGTATAATATTTAAGCATTGTCATTTCCATGTTTCTAGACACTATTTTCTATTTTATTATTGGTCAACTAAGATTTTGCTTGAGGAAATTGTCCCTAACTAATTGCTTGTTTCTTCCTAAATTTATTTCATTATTTTATGAAATAATGTTTTTATTGTTTAGCCTGGACCCATTGCTATCATCCCTGGGCTGTAAAATGCCATGAAATGGCAGCAAATGGCTAATGTTTGCTGTCTTGCCCCCTCTTCCACAATAAACAGATCATCTACATTTTTTAAGGTATGGTGTGGTAGCACTATTTAGAGAAAGTGAAATACTGTACAACATCAGTTTTTTGTTTATCTATCTACAATATCTATCTATCTATCTATCTATCTATCTATCTATCTATCTATCTATCTATCTATCTATCTATTTAATAACTTTATCTTTATTTATATTATATTCCATTGCCATTGGGATTAATAGAGTAGAGTAGAGTAGAGTAGAGTAGAGTAGAGTAGAGTAGAGTAGAGTAGAGTAGAATAGAATACAATACAATACAATAGAATACAATAGAACAGAACAGAACAGAAAGAACAGAACAGAACAGAACAGAACAGAGTAGAATATTTTATTGTCACTTTGAATGCAAACTAATTGGTATACATTACAATGAAATTACATTGCATACAGCTCTCGAAGGGTCTCCACCTCTAATATAAAGATAAACATAACAATATAAATGAATGAATAAATAAATAAATACAACATTATGCATGTACCCACGTATATTGTCTTATATTTGACACTTAAAGCTTATTTTTACAGGAACATCCTTTCCTCTGATCCTGATTCTTTTTCATGCACATGTCATTATGCCATTGACAGTTTTCCAACATGTGAATGAAAACAGCAATCAACATAATTTCTAGCTTTATCCTTTGGATAAAGGAGCCTTTCCCTGTATCTCCAGGAGATGCCAAGGATTAAATCTGGAACTTTTACATACAAACCAATTTCTGTAAATGGTTTGAGTTATAAGCTTTCTTTTCTGTGATGCCATGTCTTAAACATGACTTCATCTCAAAGGATGAAAATATTTAGCAGAAAACAGCAATGCAAAATTCAATCTTTGTTGCATGTGTAATTAGATTCTGTATAAAATGAGTGATCAACCTCCCTAAAGAAACTATTTTGTTATAATAGTATACATGCCCGGAGACAGCAAGGAACTCTAGATTAAATTTTATAGTAATGGGAAATGAAGAAACAAGCAGAACTTAATTATCATAAAAATATGTTCTAATTGGAAGTTCCAAAGTATTTATGACCATCCTGAATAATGTTTATGCTTTTTAGTGATGATTTCTTTTCATTCATGGATAATTTCCTTATTTCACTCTGTATCCAAAGAAACACACTGTTGTGTGTCAGATAAATTGTATCTGCTGCATGAGGACTAGACCTAATAAACAAATTTCTAGGGATTTGGTCTCACTGTTGCTCTGCTCGTTATTTGCATTACAGATGAAAAGCTGTTATAATATTTGAATTGTGCTAAATAACAACTATTTGAAAAATTAATGCATGGAACCTCCAATTTTCTTGCATTAAAATCATGCTTAAGTATACCTCATGTCACTATGCACAACTCATGTATAAAAGGGTTTTGATCATACAGTTGTAACTACCATCTTGACATTTTTTAATCAATGCACCTGTCCCATGGTTGTCCCTGGAAATATACTGGTGTCATCCACTGAAAACAAGGCTGCATCATGAAAATTGTAAACATTTTCTTGTTGACAATTGGCAGGAAGTGTGAGAAAAACTTGATATGGTTCAAAGGTAGTGATTGGAACATCCCATGTATTTTTCTGACAATTGGCAAAATCGCATAATTTAGATTTCATTATACTGAAAATCAACACTCTGCGACTGAAACCTGTTATAAAACCAGCTGTACCGGTGTCAATCTGAAGCAAGTAGGAAGGCTTTGATACTGAATAAGTCTATGAATTTTAACAATTGAAAGCAAATTAATATAATGTTTATATTTTCTGAAAATCATGACCGTATATAATAATTTGAATCCATTTGGGAAAGAACTAGAAATGTTATACTAATTATTATTTTAATTTTAAATCCACCAATGCAGACTCGTAAGATTAGCAAATAATACCCAATGATGTGCTCTGTTCCCAATATCATTTGATCATTTATATTGGCATCAACATATCTTCATGCAGTAATTCATTTTTGAAAACTCATCATATATTCAATATGTGTAGATTCCTTTTTTTCAGGAATTTGATCTGCCACCCAACTAATTAGAACATTTGAACATTTTTATTGGAACCTAATATTAATAGTTTAGTTTGATTTTATAGTTTTAAATGTACACATATCATATATGTGCATATTTAAATATTATAGTTTGATTTTATAGTTTTAAATGTACACATACAGTATATATGAGAAGAAGATTTGTTGAAAAAGTATTGACTTAAATTAAATAGGGTTGCAAAAGTTAGATGTACCAAAAAAGTAAAAAGAAACAGTAGTAAAGCAAATATATAGTACTAAATATCTTAATTCCCAGTTTCATGCTTCAGTCACTAGAACAGCATACTTCAGATAAAGTAACTATAATCTACATTGATGGAAATCAATAAGTGCAAGATTAGTACAATTTTTACAGCAATGCAAAAAAAAAAGCTTAATAAAGCAAGGTACATGTAAAGATATATTACGAGTTACATAAAGAGGATTAATACATTTGATAATACTGGAATTTAAAGTAGCTTGACATGATGGTTTTAAAAGTAATAACACACTGCATCTCTAACCACAGAAATTTTCTTACTTACCATAGATGCAACAATTGGATAGCAGCCATTCATATTAATTGTCGAGAGCCAGATAATTAATACAGCATATAGCCTGAAGAGACTATAAGAAAACATGTATTATATTAATTTATTTATCAGTGATTCATGTAGAATGCTAATTTTCCAAAGATGGAAAACACCTATAACTGAGCATGGTTTTTCTTTTATTCTGTTTTATGATACTTCCACGTGGAAAGAAAAATTGACAATTGCACAGCCACATTCCTTATCTTTATCACCAGTCATTTCCTTAACTATCATTTTATACTAAGACTTTAGAAACAAAAATGTCACAGAATCACATTTATATGCGACTAATTGGCCACAGGTTGGCCTTTATTCTTGCAAAGTGGAAAGATGGCAAGGATGCAACTTCATGACCAGCATGGAGTCACCAAGTGATTAAACTGACAACATTTTTATGAAGAGGCCTTTAAAATCATTCAGCTCTGGCCAGTAACTTTGTGTGACCCAAATTGTCAGAAATCTTTTCAGCTCAAATATCTTGCATGCATTCACCACAAATGTTACGTTACTTCTACCTATTATATAAACCGTACCATCTGAAAGAAAAATAATATTCCTAGTTAATCCATTTAATGGGCAGAGCAAGCAATTTTAGAAGAGTTTTATTTCACGGAATTTTGTTTTGTTTCATACAATTCCAGCTTACTTGATAGAAAAAAGCTACTTTATATTTCCAATATGTGGTTGGATGAATGGGATTCATGAAGGGAATTCAGTAAGATCAAACACTAGGACAGCGTTCGTACAAAATGTGAGTTGTGGTTTCCTGGAATAACCCAATAGATTGGATTCACAGAATACATTGGACCTTCACCTAACCAGCCTGATTGAGTTTTGCATAACACAAAGCAGCCAATTACAGATAGCAGATTGTGCAAACTCTAGCCAGGTGTCCATGTTAAAAAATCTATCATCAATTTGGTGGTTACTTTCCATAGTGGAATTTTGTATTGGCTTTAAAAATCGTATTTGTCACTGTTGGCTGATTGTAAGACCCTTATAGACTTTTTGCATGAAACAGAAAAAAATATATTTAACACCTGTGGTCTTGATGATTAGAAAAAAAAATGGATAATAGAAAAAAATGAAGTTTTTTGTAGTGTCATCATAAGCTAAGAGATAACTTTGTAATCATTCATGTATTTGCTTCAAAAGAAATCAGAATTTTTTTCTTTTTCTTTTTATCTTTTCTTTTTGCAATTTATCTCTCTCTGTCTCTCTCTCTTTGTCCTTTTTATTCTGTGCTATTTTGTGTTAACTTTTATGTTCTTTTAAAAACTTTTAATAAACTTTATAACAAAACCGATTTATCTGCTCCAAAAATGGTTGCTGAAGCATTTTCAAACTGCATTTATCAGGTCATGTGGAAATGCTCTCAGACAGTTGGGATTCTGCTGGATGTTTCTTCCTCTGAGTTACAGGGTGATGGAAAAGCTGTGACCTTGGCTCAGAAGGGCCTGAATACAAAAATGGAGTGATCTCCCCCCCCACTCCCCCCGGAGCCTTCTGCTGCATCCTGAATGACTCCACAATGGGACTCTCGCTGTGAACAATGAGAGGGATGTTTTTAAAAAGCCAGGAAAGGCGTTCAATGCTGTTCTATCAGACACTTTTGCCTGCTAGGTGATTGTTACCTATTGTCATACCAACTGAAAAAAAATTGCTCTGATGCCACCTAATGGCCATCTAGATTTTTACAGCTCAGCTACGATAGCCATAGTATTGAATTGTTGCAGCATTAGCCTTTTGGAGAGTGGATTTGTGCCTACTTTTTGAAAAAACTCATACTTTCCTCTACCATCCCCATCAATCAGAATAGAGCTGGAAGGGACCTTAGAGATTTTTTAGCTCAACCCTCTGCTCAAGCAGGAGAGCCTATGCCCGTGATGGCGAACCTATGACACGAGTGCCACAGGTGGCACGCGGAGCCATATTGGTGGGCACGCGACTGTTGCCCTAGCTCAGCTCCACCACGCATGTGCATGCTGGCCAGCTGATTTTTGGGCCTTCTGGGTCCACCGGAAGTCAGCAAATGGGCTGTTTCCGGCCTCTGGAGGGCCTCCAGGGAAGTGTGGGGAAGGCTGTTTTCGCTCTCCCCAGGCTCCTAGAAAGCCTCTGGAGCCTGGGGAGGGCGAAAAACGGGCCTACCGGGCCCACCGTGGCATCACATGCCAAGACGGGGGGACCATGGGGGGATCACGCATGCTTGCACAGGGGGGGCAGGGTGCATAGAATTATGGGTGTGGCATGCACGTGCGTGACCACCCCGCACTCCCCCCGTTTTTGGCACGTGATGGCAAAAAGGTTAGCTATCACTGGCCTATACCATTTCAGACAAGTGGCTGTCAATCTTTTCTTAAAAACCTCCAGTGATGAAGCACATACAACTTCTGAAGGCAAGATGTTCCACTGGTTAATTGTTATTATTGTTAGGAAGTTTCTCCTTAATTGCTTCTCTTCTTGAATAGTTTCTATCCATTGTTTCTTGCCTATCTTTCTTCATGAAACATAGGGCTATCCCAAGTGTGTGCTAAATGTGTGATCATTCGATAACAACAAGAAAATCCAGAGATTCTTTGCTGCCATCCAGCTCCTTTCCACATTTTGGCAGCCCATATAAAGATAAATTCTTAATAAAAGATTTAGCAGACTTCTAGCTCCTTCCTTGTAACTTCTATTCAGGCTGGAGGGAATAGTCAAAACAAGACATTCTTGTTTTGGGGAAAAAAATATTTTTCCCATTTTGAGTGAAATCTCCCTCTGTGTAAGTAGAAGAGAAAAAGAACATGGACCAACAGAAGAAATAGAAGTCTTTCTAATTTCTCCACAGGGGAATCATGCATCCATACACAATGAAGGCTTAACTGGAGCTTATTCCTATTTCAACTATCCCTGCCCATCCTGAAAGTGAATCTAAGGCTAAATTTCATTTTATTAGAACCATATGTGATATAAGTAATCACAAACTCAGTTTCAATTTGGAATCATTTTTCCAATCATTAGTCATAAATTTCATAATACATAAATGAAAGTGATGTATTTACAGTGATTTCCCATATTTCTACAAGATCAGATATATCCACTGATGTACTATAATAAAGTACGGCTTTTTTAAATGGCCATAGCATAAATAAATAAATATAATGCAATGGCAGAAATATATATTCTGTAGTTTTTTAGGCATGACTTTTTTAGTTCAATTTCTGGTTCATGAATTCATCTACTTCCTACTTTCTTTCTTTGTTTTTTAATATGATTTTTATTGAATCTTTAAAAAAAGAAGATAAAAATAATATAAAACGAGGGGGGGAAAAGAGTAAAAAGTGCAAGAAAGCAAAACGGAGAATTTATTTTTAAAAAAAGGTACAAGTGACATACAATTATACTTTAACTTTCTCTAAAGTTACATCATGACATTCTTCTTTCTATCCTATATAATCTTTAAACTCATAAATTACAAATTCGGTTTTTTTCATTTTGTTTTGTTGGAAGCTCCCCCCAGAAGAATGGAATAGTTTGGGGAAATATTAAAAGAGGCAAAATATTATATTTCCCCAAAGGAGAAATGGAGAAAAGACAGAAAGCAGCCTCCAGCAGATGCCTGAAGTCTTTAGAGATGGAGATTTTGTGCTCATTAAGAAATCCAGGCCAATCTATTCATAAATAAAATATCTTCAGCTCCAGGTGATGGGATTAAGAAAGACAGAACATGACCTTTAGGACATAATAGGATTAATCCACCACCAATCAAATAATAAAAGCATACAAAGCAAACCCCAAACTTACAAAATACTGTAAACTCTATAAAAATCCTTGCACTCATCAAGCTAATTTGTCAGCTGTCCCAGCACTGCATGCTGTGGTTGGTTCTGCTCATCAATAAACAGAGTCCTTCTTTCCAATTAGCCTCCATTTTATTTCCAGCACCTTTCTCCCGGCTTGGAACCGGACTGGATTTTTCTTCCAAGAGTTCATTTTGCTTCCCCCTCTCTTTCTGAAGCCCTACTACCTTAAAAGTTAATGTTTGAAATCCCTGTTCCTCTGGAATTTAGCCTCACTCTATCTGAGCAAGCATGCAGAAGATTTGTAAATAAATGTTTTCTGTTTCTATGGCATTTGGAGCAATAAAGATCCATTTTTCTTTTTATTACCTTAGTTCTGATAGAGCCTGAGAAGCAGCTTCAGCCGTACAAGCTGTCAGGAGGATTTTGGTCAATTTACATATTCAAACAGTTTAAGCCATATTGAGTGAGAAAATCCCATCATTTGAATAGAACTGAAAGCTGCAACAGGTACACTAAGTTCATTCCTATGAGATAAGTGGATTAACTGGGTGATTCTGGTACAATAGAAAGTTGTATCGGTTTGAGACTGTTTTTGATAAAGTTGAGGTTCAGTTTTAATTGGCTCTGCTTTTACTGAGCTCCATTTTTATGCAAATCCTCTCAGGGTAAGGGTGAAGGCAGCCTTAGCCAACAAGGGGTTGATGGAACAATGACAAGCAATGTCACAGTTCTTTAGGATTCTGCATTTTAGCCTTGCAGGGTGGGGAGACCCCATTTGTAAAGCATTTAGGACTCCTTAATGCATATAATTCTGTCCTCCAAAAGTCCTATGTGACGAACTATAGGTTTATGAAAGAGACAGCACCGTTTTCCTAAGCTCTCTGCTGTCAAAATGGTTCTTGATAGTCAGGCACGACCATTTCCTCAGCTTTCTCCTGCTTGTTATACACTTACTTTAATTGTGTTTTCGGGTCTGATTAAGCAGGTGACTATATGACCCAGTTTACTGTCTTTCACCAGCCTCTCTTTCCTTAACAGGCTACCTGTTAAGAGATCCTGTGCAACCATTTCACATATTACGCTCAGTGTTTGGTTAGCATTTAGCAATTTATTTGTGGGTGTTAAAAGATGTATTATATGTGCTACCTTTTGTTATATTCTATTACAGATTGCCTAGTTAGAAGACATGGAGGATGCTTGCAAGTGAGCCATAGCTTTACAGAAGAACTGTAATTTCGCCTATTTTTAAAGGAGGGAGGAAGGGAGGGATAATCCTGGAGAAGGGCAGAGAGAAGATAGTGATATATCTAGGACATATTTACCTATGTCCTATGTATATTTTAATTTCAAATCTAATACTCAATTGCCCAACATATCTGAAAATTGGGAAATCCTCTATTAAACTGTGTAACATTGAAGATTATTGTATTTTCTTAATGTCTCCTTCATTTTTTGCTTTATGGTGAAACAGCCTTTTTCATTCTGTGTACTCATTTAAACTATGCTGGTTTTATTAGACTTTATTCATGGATTCATAGTTCCACTGAAGTAGTTTAAGCTAATTGCCTTCCAAAGATATTTGCTTATAATTGCTGGTCAGAAAATTAACATCTCGGTATTGTTGTGAGTACAACAGCCAGTTAAGGAGCAGGCAGAAGCCTTAACAGCAAGTCGCCTCAACTACACATTGTGATATCCTCCATTGCTCCATAGCTGTGTTCAAAATAATTCCTGTCATTATCTAAGAGAAAAGGAGACTGTAGAGGCTATGTTCTATTTTTCCATGCACGCAATCTAAAAAAATGTTTTGTTATTTGCTTTACTCAAACCCTTGCTTTTACAAAATTTTCTATACACGGTTTATTAATTGAACAGCTACCAAGAGTTTAATTATTAACTGTTTGAATTGCTCTAATGTCTGAGCAAAGTTTTTAGATTGAGGAAGTTCTTGCCCTTCATCTGAGCAGTGCTGAGTCTGATCAAAGGCGTTGCCGATGAATTTTATATGAAATAATCCATACTCCTGATAAGGCCATCTAGCATCTCTCTCTTTCTGCCTCTCCCTCTCCTCCTCTCCCGCTTTCACCCTCTTCCTCTCCCCTGTGCCCCCTCCTCTTTGCCTTTCAATGGGATGGCATCAGTATTTCATAGAGCTGGAAGCGTTGAGATGGTTATTATGCATATTCTTATGTTAAGCTCCGTCAGTACTGATTCAGAGTTGCCCTATTCTTTAATCAGCTTTCTGTCTCCTTTTAAGAGGACTTAGCCAAGGAGGGGAAGCGTGACAATGGTCTCTGAAATGGAAAGAAATGAGTCAGCTAAGATTTTGCCCTGGGATTCAGGGTTTCTTTGTTCGTGTGTGTGTGTGTGTGACTCTCAAAAGAAATGAACAAAATAATTTTCTGGTACACTTTAATTTGCTTTACAAAAACACTTTTATTCTCAACAGCATCGTAACACTTTTGCGATGCACTTGACAGTATGTCCAACCAGATAGTTTTGGAACTGAAATCTGTGTCTAATTTTCATGCTTGTTTTTTTCTTTCTGAAGCATAAGCTGGTACTATCACTAATAGGTCAACAAGAGCAGCAACAATAAATACCATCAAAACAATATGCCTTTCTTTTTACTCGCTAGATAGTGCATTAAATTCATACCCAAGAAATCAATAAAGCAAAACAATTTTGTCACCAGTGGATTAAAGTGAGAAACACAATGTTTTGTCTCCCCATATTGAAAAAAATTAGGTACCTTGATATAAAGATCACTGCACATTTTGTTTTCTTGTATTGAAATAAATACCAAATTAATTACTTGTTTTCTGGAATTTGTTAATAGAAGAAACACAGTTATTTAGATTTGCTAATCATGGTAAATACAAGATGGAAAAGAAACTATCATCGAAAATCACAAATTTTGATTCTTCTTGTTGTTAGTTGCGAAGTCGTGTCCGACCCATTGCGACCCCATGGACAAGGTTCCTCCAAGCCTTCCTGTCCCCTACCATCCCCCATAGTCCATTTAAGCTCACACCGACTGCTTCAGTGACTCCATCCAGCCACCTCGTTCTCTGTTGTCCTCTTCTTCTTTTGCCCTTTCCCAGCATTAGGCTCTTCTCCAGTGAGTCCTTCCTTCTCATTAGGTGACCAAAGTATTTTAGTTTCATCTTCAGGATCTGGCCTTCTAAAGAGCAGTCAGGGTTGATCTCCTCTAGGACTGACTGGTTTGATCCTTACTTGATGGTATTGCAAAATCTCAGTAAGATACAAATACAACAAAGCAATACTGTACAATTCAAGGAGTAAGATTAAGCTCATACCTACCAAGCTCTATATTAGAAGTAGGAAGACAAGAATGCTATAATGGGAACATGAAAAATAAGAAACCAAGTCTCTCATTCCTAAATCCTTTACTTACGAGTAATCTGTGACTTCTACAACAGGAAGAAAAAATGCAGCAAGCACCAGGTCATCAAAATCTGGATTTGATAATAAAATATTGTTGTATAAATAATGGAGAATCTTGAGCCAAGATAATTTTATGACTGCATTCTCTTTCACACTTTCAGGTTTATTAAGGTGATAGATGTCTTCTCTGAATTTCAATCTGGCAAACAGAGAGAATTTATAATTCGTGCTCCTAAACTTTTTTCTAGTTCTGTATTCTTCCTCTGTATCTATTTCTATCACTTGTATCTATGCATTTATGTATGATGTTTCAGCTTCTCCTTCTGTCCCAGAGGTCTCTTCTTATGTTTAGGAATGTCCTACTCTAGAAGAAACATGGTAGTTGTATTGACCCCAGTGCTACATTATATTATTTTAAAAAAAAGCATGAAATATAATAAATTCCAAATAGGTTATAATAAAGGTAATATAGTAGATGCAGAAGGATCCTTCCTGTCTTCTTTGTTATACATCACAATGGTTTTAAACAAAACATCTGGTCTAAAAATGGCTGAATTAGAAGATACATGATCTTTACAGTTATATTTTTGGATTTGGTGTAAGCAGATGCAAAAAAATATTGCTTGCTGTTTTGCCATCATTTTCTATTTATAAAATGCAGTTCTTAATATGTGACTATGTACTTTTTTATCTCTATTTCTCCATCCCATTATAATTCAAATATACAGGGAGAGTGTGGGAAGACAAAGTGCAAGGTTTTTTTGCATAATTCTGACAATATCTGTCAATTCTGCCTTCTGTCTCTGAGCAGAAATTGCTAATCATACCAATTGTTAGATTAACAAAATGACTAACACTTGAATGTCTAACACAAATATTCATTGACACATCTCTTGCAGTTTCACAAAAGTAAACAAGCCAACAAACACATTAAAAGATTTCTGAAAGAACAACCCAGTTAGCTGGTTTAGCTCCTCTGACAAATAATAAGAATTTATTTTCTAAGAAAGCATAACAAAGCCAAAAATCCTGGTCTCAGAATAATCTCAAAATTCAAACTGAGGTCTGGTTAAGTTTCTACATGATTTGAACAAAGCTTATTTTGTTTACAAAATTCCAAAATGCAGTTATACTGTATATCGTCAGCTATTGTCAGACCTCCAAGTCTCCACTGCCAAGTCATCACAGAACAATTCAACATGGCCAATTTACCTCAGAGACAACTCGCCACAGGCAACTAGTGCGATAACTGGGTGGATGAGTGGGTGAGCAAAGTGTAGAGCAGTGGTTGCAATGGCCAGGGGCTTCCCATTTTCATATTCGCATCCTCTGCTGCCACTGCAGGTCATTCTTCACCACCATTTGGTGGTGGCAGCGGTGAGTGGGGCAGGTGGTGGGGAGACGATGGAGGCCAGGCGCATCTCATTTTCACATCTCCTGCTGCTGCTACCGCCACCGCTGCAGCAAACAGAAGCTCCATTGCCTGAACACTGCCACTGAACAGCCTGCAGTGGCAATGGTGGTAGCAGGGGATGTGTAAAAATGGAAAGTCCCCAGCTGCCACTGCTACTCTGTACTCTGCACTTTGCCTACCCACTCACCTGCCCACCTGCCCATCTCTCTCTACAGCTGCCTGTGGCAAGTTGCCCCATGAAGAATTGGGCAGGTTGAGTTGTCCTGTGACGACTTGGCGGCTGTGAGTTGGCAGTGGTGATTTGGTGGTGGCAAACTGGCCGTGCTGGGTTGTCCCATTCCGCCATGAAAGGCAGAGCTGATTACCACAATGGAATGAAGAGCCAGCGAGTAAACTGCCTTTTCAATTATCTCTTTCCAGAAACTAGTGCCCAGGAGGCCAAAGTTTTTTTTTAACCTGAATGCAAAAACAGATTCCAGGATGAAATTCAGGGTGTAATTTCATTCTGAAAAATGGTGTTGCTTGCTGTTTTCAAAAATTGAGCCCTTTGGGTGCCAAGGGAAGAAAATTCCGGATGCCAGGGTCAGGCAGGCAGATGCCCACGAGGCCAAAATTATTTTAACCCGAATGCAAAAATGGATGCTGGGATGGGATTTGGGATGGAATTCATACTTAAAAATGGTGCTGATTGCTGTTTTTAAAATTGAGTCTTTTTTGCTGCCCGACGAAGAAAATTTCTGACATTGGACTCAGGGACACAAGAGCTGAGGAGGCCATTTTTTCCCCAATTTCAATGCAAAAATGAATGCTGGGAGGAGATTCAGACTGGAATTTCATGCTGCTTGATGTTTTTAGAAATTGAGCCTTTTGGGTGCAGTGAGGACTTCAGATTACCCTTAAATGCTCCAGATACTTGTTTCTTGTGAAAAGATAGCAGCTGTCAGCTGGTTTAGAGTTCTGAGAGACAAGAGAACAGCCATGTTTCTCAAACATCACCCAGTGTCTTTAAAAAGACACTGGGTTCACACACTTTCTTTTCGAATCACTTTCTGAATTGTTACATTTTCAGCTATTAGGTACCCTTGGATAACAGCATTGGGTCAGTTTTACTGCTGACACTCATTTGAACAGTGTAGGAAGAAATATCCTTCTGGGTTCTGCTCCAAGTGGGGAAAAAGACACTGGAAACATGGAGACTGTCAGATGTAAATGCCTTATTCTCCAATGTGTAAATAATGTATATATGGAACATCAGAGGTTAACTTATTCTTTGGACTTTAATGTATTCATAACTTACCACTCCCATTCCTAGCTCCACCCCTTGTATATATAAGGAGCCACCCTCACCATTCTCGTTGCTTCTACCTCGAATATTCAGTGAATATAGAATGCCTATCATAATTAAAAAGAAATATATTTAAAGCTTTAACTTCTATTATCTTTATTGAGTCTGATCCTGAAAATATTGCAACAAGCTGGTAGCAGAGGATGGTTAATTGACTCAATAAGTAATTAAAAAATGTCCAAGAAAGATAGGCCCAACACCAGGGCCTACAGCAAAGAAATAGAAACTGATCAAGAGATGATCAACGAATCCACCAATGCGATTTCGAGAGAATCCGAAGAATACACCACTGAAGAAGAAGAACTAATGAGTGAAAATAATGACCAGAAAGAAATCGAAATAGAAAATAACGAACTCAGGTCAGAGATATTAAAGATACTAAAAAGCCAAAAGAATGATGAAAGTCTCATCGCGGACCTCCAGGAGATGCTGAAGAACAGCGGAGCAGCGAGAGAGAAAAACGTCATTAAAGAAAAACCCAAAGATCAAAAAATCGTAAGTGAGATGACTACTGAGAAAATAGTTGTTAAAAAGAAAAGATGTGATCCCGCGCGAAATTTTGAATGGCAGCCATCTTGGTTTCAACGAACTTCAAAAGAGAATGGAGCAGAGCCAATCAAAACGCTCAGTTCAAAATTTCTGGCGCGAAAAACACTATCAGACGAAGAAAGTGAGAAAGAAGTCTCAAACTCTTCAGATGATCCAAAATCAGAAAGTGAAGACGTTTTAACAAAATCTCAAGTAAAATCAGCAATGAAAACGCTTTTTGCTGCTTTTGGGCCAAGACTGAAAATTACCAAGACATCTACGAAGAAGCAAGAAATCAAACCGGCGACTCAAGACCTGCACGCTCCCATCCTGACTTCGAAAGCGACGACGCCCGAGCCCAGAGAGCCATGCCGATTTCGCCCTACACCACAGACAAAATCGAATACCAACGCACACAAAAAGAAGAAAAGAACCGTCACCACCACCAGAACCCCAAAAACCGAGCCAGAGACCGACTCATCTGAGGAGGAGCGGATCGAGAGAGCTGAAAGGGAGAGAACCTTCCACGACGCCACCAAAGAAGAAATGAACAACGCGCATGTGCGAAACTACGTAGACGACCCAGAAGGACTTGAACTGGCCAGAGAACCGCGCAGACTCATTGCAAGCATCCCAATGCCGTTCTGTAATTTCCTGCACTTAAGAGATCACGGACTGCCCAGGTTGTAAGTAATGGACAGAATAATGTAGGTAACTTACCCAGTGACTTCCCAAAACTTAGAATTGATGGCATTAATTTACAAGAGTGGTATCAACAGCTTCAGGTTATTTTCATGAAAGAAAATTTACTATTCTTTATAACTAGCCCTCCAAGAAGACCTTGGACTTTAAAAATAGATTGTTTACATCATAGAGCATTTTTCATAATAATATCTAGCGTGTCTCCTGCAATGTATCATAGCATCAAACCAAACCTAACTGTATCAGAAATAATTCAATGCATGTTTAATCTATTTCACAGCGATAGCGTAGCTACAACCACAAGAATGTCTAAGGATTTCTTTTCCTCTAGAGTAAAACCAGGGTTTCTATAAGTGAGCATTTGATAAATCTAAACAAAATAAGAGCTGAGCTACAATTGAGGGGGGAAGTGATTTCAGATCAAACAATGAAAAGTGTTATTATCAATTCACTTGATCCATCATGGGATAGCTTTATGTCACACTTAGATACCATTAATTTGGGATATTTATCCATAGAAAGTCTATCTAACAAATTGATAGCAGAAGACAATTCAAGAAAAAATCGATCCAGTAACCAAACAGACCACAAACCTTTTAGGAAAGTAGTCTTTCAAGATAAACATAATGAGGCCTTTAGATGCTACAATTGTGGATCCAGGAACATAGTAAAGAGACTGCCCCAAAGTCTCAAGAGAGAGACATAGACCAGAATATAGGAGCAAATATAATTACAGACAATCTTCCACAGATAGACACAAATATAGAAGCCCACCAAATTACAAAGAAGGTAGAGGGGGTAGAGAAAATTCAAAAGAGAGGAAATCTGGGTCACTGAATGGGCTAAATAAACAAGACAGCACCAGAACACAGCAGGATGAGAATAACAATTGGCTTATTGACTCTGGTGCAACAAATCACACCACCAACAACAAAAGTATATTATCTTCATTTATAGAAGATAAGTTTGTGATAAAGGTAGCTAATCAAGAAAAGGTTCAAGTACTAGGCAAAGGAAATGTGACCTTGCCTGGTCTAGGGAAAATAGAGGGGGTATTATTAATCCCAGAAATACCTCACAACATACTAAGTGCCATAAAATTAAGCAGAGAATCTGATATCAATATAGTTTTCTCAAAGGGGAAAGCAACTATAGAAAAGAACAAAACAAATGTAGGTACTGTAATGATAAAAGGAGGTCTACCCTATCTGATAACTAAAGAAAGATGTTTACATAACATTGATTCAAATATGGAAGATTGTATTGAAGCAGATGATGAAAATGTCAGTAACAGTGACAATGATGAGTGTAGAATAACTCATGATCACAAAAACACATACAAGGAAAAGAAACCAAAAATAGGTAAACCAATTCATGATGAGTGTGCTCACATCTTACACAGGAAGTTAGGACATGCAAGCTTTCCTGTAGTACAAAAAATGACTGAACACGCAGAAGGTGTCAAAATAAAAAATTGTGAAAATTATTTGGAATGCTCAGTATGTAAGTCCACCAAACTAAAAACCAGTCCCAGACCAAAAAAATCTAACAGATCAACTAACAATATTTTTGATTTGGTACATATGGACTTAGTTGGTCCATTAAGTCCCTCAATTACCTATAGAAAACGTTACTTCCTAACAATAGTGGATGACTACAGCCGATATGGTTTTGTTTACACATTAAAGCACAAGGATGAAACATTTCAGAAATTTAAGGAATTCTACAAACGTATAGAAACACAACATAATATCAGAATAAAGCAAATTATGACAGATAGGGGATGTGAGTTCATGTCTAAAGAATTCTCCCAATGGTTAAAGGATAGAGGAATGTTACATTTCACGTCCAATCCTTTTTCTGCATTTCAAAATGGAGTTGCAGAGAGGAAAAATTCCACACTACAAACCATGATTAGGTGCACATTAGAGGATGCTGGTTTAGGCAAACAATTTTGGTCAGAGGCATTACATTATTCGAATTACACTCAAAATAGAACCTGGTCCAGTATTGTGAATAAGACACCATATGAGGTGATGTACAATAGAAAACCCAAATTATCACACATGCACATATTTGGAGTCACTGCAGACGTACACATACCTAAACAATTGAGGAGAAAGGGAGAAAACGTATCCAGGAGATTAAGATTCATGGGATACGAAACTGGAACCAAAGGGTACAGATTTATTGATAGTAATAACAAATTTATAGTATCCAGAACAGCTGTGTTCCATGAACAGGCCAATTGGTCAAAATTGCACCTTAATGAAATATTTCCTAATAAATGTAAAGATACGATATCTTGTGAGGAAGGAACAACAGAAAATCAAAATATTAACAAAAGTAAGAACAAAACC